CCCCTTTCTCTCTGTCTTCCCTGGGCATTCAATATTCAGTTAAAAAAAAAGGCACCCACCTCTTTTCACCTTCCCACTCTCCCTCGTTCTCTCCTTATGTTCTTTTTGTGGCTCTAAATACTTCCGGGCTTCTCTCTACAACGTTCACCATTCCTTTCTTCTCGAAAATTATTTAATTACGGGAAGTCAGTTACAAAATTCAATCTTCTTAGTGGATCTAAAGCTTCTGGTATTCCTTAAACCCTTATCATCTCCCTAAATTTGTTCAATTATAAGAATTTATTTACCCATTTCAGTTACTTCTCTTTCAGGATAAAAAGTCTTTTTCTGGTTTTTGATAGCAGAATCAAACAGAGACTTACAATGGATGAAAAATCAGCTCTCTTGACTTCAGGTTACTTGTCAGAGAGGAAACTATGTAACAACTTAAGATAAAGGGTGATACGACATTGTTTTTGTAGTTCCTTGCCCTTTGACTGCAATTTACCATTCCACAGGGCAAAAGAAAGTTGCAGTCGTTATTTTTGGTGGTGGCAATTCCTTATATTATTAATAGGACACCATAGGGTGTAGCAGGGAAAAAAAGGGGAAGGGGTAAGGGGGATTGGAAAGTTATCTTTTAATTTTCTATGTTGTTTTTCCTGTTCTTCAGAAGAACATGAAGAACATAAATGTATTTTTGAGACTACTACTTATTTTTATGTTCTTAATAATGTGTTTGAAGCTAAACATATCAAGAGTCCTGATAAATCATTGTGGTTTATGTTTTGTTTTATCTATTGCTAGGGTGTACGAGAATTAATTTAGAAGCAACCAGAGTACAATAAAGCAGTGATTGGATTGGTAAATTCGGCTGATACATTTTCTTGATCCAGATTTTTTGGGTAAGAGTTGCCTTTATTTTTGGAGTTGTACACTTTCTTTCTTTCATGTGGGTATTGTAAGTTTTTTTGATTACCTTGGATTGCATGCTGTTCAGATCCTTTCTTATTGAACCCAAGCTTTTGTGATATCATGTTCAATAACCACTACACCAAAAATTGTAAATGTTAGAGGGGTGTAACATAAATATTTATATATTTCAATATTACTACTTTGAATGAATTGAGATAATTATAGGACAAAGCTGGTTCTATTAAGTGTTAGATTTGTTAGCCACTAAATGCTACCTAATGCCAAGTTGATTAATTGGTTATAGATGATTTCCTACAAATTTTCATTCACTTACATTTCTCAGTCTGTTGTTTAATGTAAAACTTGAACAAGGAACACGAACATCTTTGCGTGTGTAAAAGGGTATTGTCAAAGGATTTCGATACAAGTACAAGAAAAGTAAACAAATGAGTGGGTATGCTCCCCACTCGCAATCGAAATCATTTTGCGCCTATTTGATAATGCATGTATGTGGATTTGCACATACGCATTTAACCTTCATACCCTAGCTTGTTACACATTATGAATTCGCTTACTAATAGTTTGTATTCATAGCTTGAAAATTCAAATCCTACTTTGAACGCTGTGAATGTGCTGCCTCAGCTGAGTATAAACTCTATTAGCTTTGCTTCGAATTACAAAACATCAAAAGGCCAAAAGCAAAAATCATTAGACAATCTAAAGATAGACCAATAGTGGAGGAGGTAAATATTATGGAAAGTGAAACAAATGAGCCATGTCTTGCACAACATACCTCAAGCATATCCTGGCCGAAACAATCTTTATGAAAAAAATGTCGCCACTATCTTTTGAAAATGGAGATTGATGGTAATTAATAAATTTACTTCCGACATCATTATTATTATTTTTTGTGTATTCTTCAATTATGAAAATAAAGGCAGGTTTGTGTCAAAGCAGATAGCAAAGAAACATTTCCCAAGTGAAGGGCTATTTAACATACAGAAAGCCTATGAATTGATTCACTAAAAAAAAAAGGTTATGCTTCGTTGATGCCTTTCTAATATTTTCTTACTTTCCATCTTAAATCCTCTAATCTTATTTTAAATTTTTTTCTACTTGCAGAATGAAGTATTAATAGTGGAAAATTGTCAGCTTGCGATTAAGTTGGAATTTGTTCTCAATATTTTTTTTTATGTTATTAAATGTTACATACAATTCATTCAGCTTATTATATTATCATGTAAATTTCAATGCCACTTTGCCTATGTTTATTAGCATGACTGAATAATACTTATTTCACAATCTTATGCATGCGTCGCTAGTGGTTTAAGTCAAATATGTCATATTTTAGTCTCTTAAATGTGTTTACTTGCGTGATTGAATTTTGTGACTTTGCATTCCACAACCATCAGTGAACTTCTTCATCAGGTTTTGACTGGTCTACATGTGGTATAGTTAGCACATCAAGGAGTGACTTGCATTGGTTGTTGCCTTTAGATAAAGTCGATGGAAATTATGTTTAGGAATGAATTCATCAATGTCATTGTTGAATTTAAGAAGGCGTGGGTTGAGAAGGCGAGATGAGCAGTAGCGGAATTCTATTCCATTAAGTAAACAGGTTCAAGGGAAAGCAAGGTGACATAAAATTTAATTAAGGGTTACCATGAGAAAGTAAATGTTTGATGTTGTGGTACGTTCATGTCGAATTTAGTGGTTATTTTTTGGCCTAATGTCATCGGTTTGCATAATTGACTTAAAATTCTTTTGTTACAGGTTAGAACTTGATAGAGTCAAGCTTCTCTTTCAAGACCTGCAAATCTATAGAGGTGCTACATAAAAGTTCTTCAAATGACAATAATCCTACAAGCACAAAGGCTCAAGCAAATCCTCTGTGTTACTGGGGACAATAGCTTGGCGAAATTGTTCGAGTTGCCAAGGGGTGCTTTGGGATGGGGCTTATAATTGATTCATTGATTTTGGTTCTATTTTTGTGTATCAGCTTTCCTAGCCTAACATCAATCAAATCCCTTATCTAATGCTAGTTATCTCTCACTTTCACTTTATTTCGATATCTTTCTCCCAAATTGTCTCATTTTTCAATATTCACTGTACTACCAAACCCATTGAAACTCCTTTGCGTTTATCTGTTATAATAATTTTTATTAAGGAGATTTCTGTTTCACTCTTAACCATGGATGTAAGACTACGGTCATACATCACTTCAAGTGAATTTTGCTACTTTTCTCTTTTATTTATCATTTACTTCTCCACACATCCCCGTCATAGTTCTAAGATGCTCCAATATTGAAAAACAAACTTACAAAGGAATAAAAGAAAGAAAAATGATAATATAAAATGATCCACGTGCAACGCACGTATGCACCAATTAGTATTATATAAAAATAATTGTGTTGGATCTGCATTAATTGAGAGAGAGAAAAGAGAGTGGGATTGAGTGATGATTTGATCATTAGCTGGGGACACATGGATTGAGATAATGAAAGATAATTTGGGCCTACTATTTCAAAATGGATTTGGGGTCGTTGATTAAGGGTATTTTTTTAGTAACATTAAACAATAACATGCTCAACAAAAAAATTATAACATCAAACAGTAACATGCTTAATAAAAATATAGTAACATCAAACAGTAATATACTCAATAAAAAACTTAATTAAATACTTAATCATTGCAATAGAGTGACACCATATGTGAGAATTTATTCGGTTGTGAGGGTGTCACTTTATTACAATGATTAAATTTTTAATTAAGTTTTTATTGAGCATGTTACTGTTTGAAGTTACTATTTTTTTTTGTTGAGCGTATTACTATTTGATGTTACTATTTTTTTGTTGAGCGTGTTACTGTTTAATGTTACAATATATATATAATTTTAATACTAACACAATTTTCAAGTTAGGAGTTGTTAATACTAATACAATTCCTGATTTAGGAGTTGTTAGTTTTTTCAAACAAGTTTTGATTAAATATAACTATTATGAGTATTTTGGACAATAGAGATCAAAATAGATTTATCTCCAAATAATTTTTTTGAATGTACTTAAGTCTAAATAAGTCTTAAAAAAAAAAAATTAGCCACAGCCAGACAATAATATGAAGACATGTATATAATTTGAGGCCCCTTTTTTTGGGCTTTAAGCAAACATTTAAGTTGCATTATATTTGGGCCGGCCCTGCCTGTTCTAATACACTTTTTTTTCTCCATTTCTATTAGTGGTATATCAATCTGCAATTCTGCATTGTATATAGGTGGTTTTATTACAAATTAGTGGATCCCACTTGAATTTGTAAGGGACTATAATTGAGGAAAAAATATAGTAAATAGAATCCAAACCCGAGGTGGGGTGGGTTGATGAATTGAAGCCGCCATACCATCTTATAAATTGGAAAAAATATTCATTGTAACGTTGATATCACGTCAGTATTATCACATGATATCAATAATTAATAATATATAAATAAATAAAAAAGTAGATCCCATACAAATCAATAACTATTCGTCCATGTAAGTAAATAATTATCCGCTCTTATTTCATGTAAATCAATAATTATCCAAAAAAGATTCACTTTGTCCATTAATAATAAGCTGTTAACTTCCCTACGGAATCTCTCTGTAACCATGGGCTGATGGCAGAGCTTGCCCAGTGCCCATTCTTTTCCCTGTCTTTAAATCAAACTAGTAGAAAATCCTTGAATGACCGACCTTTCCAAATATCCATTCCCACAAGAAATAAACAGTTTGCATGATTTAACTCTATTGCAATTTCTGGATTATTATATGATGGTTTTTAAACCTTCCATATATAGAAAAGAAAGGAACAACTTTCGCGGTAACACGAGTCCCTTCAGTAGTTATTTACATATATCAACTCATGCTTCTAGATGTCATGGAGAATGTGGGATTCATGTTGTGTTGTGTTCAGGGCTGGATAATTGGTAATCTATACTAGCATGGATTACCATCTCCAAAGCCCGAAACTTGTATGAATATGCAGAAGGTTCTTTGCTTTCGGAACACAGGTAAGAGATGACCACCCTACAATGAATAGGGCAGTCTTCTAAAGAATTCTTTTGAATCGATTTGGTCACGCTGGTGGTGCATCAGCTGTTTGTCTGCTTTTCCAAATAATTGGAGCCACCAACATCCATACTGCATAAGGATTGTTATTTTTCAGTAATCACTCGTATTTGTTTGATCAGGAAATAATCGTGCCATCACAACAATGCACTTAAAATTGATCATAATCAGCTGGCTTTCAAGAGTGTTTGAGATTTAAAACTGTATTTCACATGAGTTTCAGTTTCTGATACTCACTGTAAACGCAGGCTGCAAGCCACTCGTTAACTATCCGGACCCAAGTACTAGTCCAACCCACATCAATGGTCCACCTGCAAAGAGGTTAATTATAATTTCTCTAAGATTAACAACAATATTGGTTCTGTTTTATTACCAAATTTTGATTCTTGTCTTCCAAGGAATGCTTAAACTTATACATTAATGAGCTTGTTATCCAAGAAGTTAATTACAAAAAGAACGCGAAGAGGTCAATTATGTTCTTTCTAAGGTAAGCAGCATACTACGTCCTGCCCTGTATCAAGCTGTCATACTTGAGCCAGCTGCTTCAATGTTATGAGAGATGCTTAAACTTTAACCTTTATAGCCTATCCATAACCATATAGAGAGCCAAGGACTTTTTGAACAGATTCGAGCAGTATTTTTCATGTAAACAATTATCTTCATCGTTCATCTCATTACATTGATGCTGCATAATTAACGAGGAGACTGGAAATTTAAAACCTTATAGCTATAGTAGTTAATTGCAAGTTGACCAAAAATGACTCCTAAAAAAAAAAGAAAGTTGACATTTCAACTTATTTCATTTTCAGTTGTGGATTTATCTTCCAAAGGGTACTCTTTGGTTCAAATACTATAAGATAATCCCATTCAAAGGCAAAAGTGTAGACAGAAATGCAGGAGTTCATGAGTTCCGCAAGATATGGGGCCTTACCTTTTCATGGTATGATGGGTGTTCCAACCAATTAATAGCATTGCAAAGTACATGGCTCCCGTGGCAAAAACAAAATGGAAGAATCCGTATCCATATGGAACATCATCTTCTTCCTGTGTCTCATCCTTCCTGAACTGTACCTTTCTTCGTCAGATATGCTATCAAGTAAATATTTAACAAATTGAAAAGGTTAGAGTGAGGTAAACCTGAAAGCATTTCGAATCAATGCCTGTTGAAAATGTCGCAATAACGATTGCAATGACTGCAACAACAAAGCTCTGTCAAAATAAGAGATCAATTGTTATTCATGGAGGAAGAGAAAATAATTGGCCAAGAAAGTTCTGATAAACACATTTTCTGCAGTAGTTGTGACCAGAAAAGCTACCCTGAAGTGAAGACTTTGGTATAAATTCTAGCATGTTATGGAAAAAAATCCCTTTAAACTTCTCTAAATGGTGCATTTTGATGGGGAAAAATGATAAATCACGCTGAGCTTTTCGGGTAAAAATATTTAGCAATGCCAATTTCATTAACCATGGTGAATACTAAAATCCTTATTTGATGAAATTTGGAAGGATTTGTCCATCTGCAACAAAAAGGTTTCAAGGCATCCCTTGAAATGCCTTAAATGTCACAAAAATTACAATTGAAAATTTCTGAAATCTTTGAACTCATTTGCACCTATATGAAAAGAAGAGAGATTTTTTAGATCCGAAAATTACTATGATGGTCAGCCAGTCTCCTTTAGTTGCAGCGTCTGTTTTCTTGATACATTTTGCCTCTGGTGGTTCGCTGTGAACATGAGATGTAATCGAGTTACAATTTGATAGAAGATAAAATTATAAGGAGAAAGCAAAAGAATTGTGAAGTCAAAAAACAATGAGAACTCAATCATCATCAAAACAAACTGGTAGTGATATTCTTCTATAGGCATGGTTTTACAGTATTGCTTTTGCCTTTCTGCATTTCTGGAATGACGCAATATCACTTCAGAGAGAGTGAAGTCATGTTTAAGTTGTCTGGTACTAGTGAGAAAAAAAGAAGGTAATTCTTCTTTTTCCCAACTACTGAAAGTTTGTAGTTACTAAGATGGCAAAAAGTACAGCTTAGCAATAAGCAGTAAAAGTGCTGAGTAAAAAACAACAAAATTCATAAACTAGAGACCATGCCTTCTAATGGCAGACCAGCAGAGGAACACCACATAAAGCCCCATAAACCCTGGAGTCAAAAAACCGGCATTCACCTGTTTTAAACAATGTTTACATGTAAATTTGTGAAGTTATCTCAAGAGAGAATGAAATGAAACTGACAGAGAAAGATCAGAACTAACTTTTGGGTGGAGGGAGACACTGGTCATCAGTTGTAGTAGTACTAGTGTCCAAGTGATGAAGAACATGTTAAGAAAGCAAGATGGTTGTGGAGTATACCAAATATACATCAAAATGATTCCCAGTATGCAGACAACATAGGCAGCGGTTGCAAGTAACATCACATAGACATGGCTGCAAATCTAACGATACATTAGAAATCATGCTCAGTTATTAAAATACAATAGGAAAACATAGAACTCTCATTATCTTTCAGAAAGATTTGTTGGAGAATTCCAAAGGTATTGATTGCCTATTTGGACCACCTTCACCTAAGTTACCCCAATAAGGATGTTAACAAGTTGGCAATGCCCATGAAAATAAGCTTAGGGCCCCGATGCTGTACTGTGATATGCACCCTTTTCTACAATTAGTGCATTGACATTTTAAGTGAAACAGGTGAAATATATTGCATAAAAGTTACGCTTTAATTTGGCATCGTAATGGTATGTTAAAGCAGTACCAAAAACTACCATAGTTCTAGTGATATATATTGAATTTTCTTCCTTTTGTACTAAATCTATATTTTTTGAATTTGTGTATAAGAGTTCAAGGCAAAACACAAGCAGGACAACAATCAGACATGCCTTCATATCTATACTGCATACTTTTTGCATGCATCAGTGATAAACCTGGGATTACATTCTGCTGTAGAACTATCCCAATCGTGAACTCTTACAAACTCAATGAATGCATAATGTAATCCCAGGTTGCTAATATGATTACTAACAGACTTTACAAGCTAAGCTAGCTGCACCTTTAACATGTAGCCTTTTAATGCTTTTCTGGCAGGAAATTGGCTTTAAGAACACTTCCAATTTAATGCATACTGTTCTATGATAATCAACTGTCGTGGAAACACATAGAAGACCTATAGCGGTGTCCGTTACAATGAGAAGACGCTTACCATCTGTTGGCGTATTTTTCAGAGTGACAACAATCGTTCAGCCATGTAATGAAACTGATTATACTTATTAGCTGAATTAGTAGAAAGACCCTGCAAAGGATTGCATAAAGGATCAGGAAAAAAACTACCAAGAAATCTTTGGTCACTTGACTAGGATTTTAGGTCTATTTTCCAACTTCTACAAGACTACAACCACCAATTCTAAATGAATTGAAAAAATTTGAAAACCAGAAAATATAAGGGGAATAAGTGATACCCGGCACCAAAATGTGCAAGATCACCTGCCAAAGAGACACTGTATTAGATTCATGATATAAATATTAGAAAAAGGAACTTCTGTGAGTACTTAAAATTGAAACACCTAAAGAAAACGATAAATATCTTAGGTTGTTGAACTGAACTACACTTACCATAAAGCTGAATAGCGGCTGAAGGAACAAAAAAAGGCAGCACTGTTAGTACAATCATGAGGAGAATCTTGGAAGGCCACCACCCAGAATGCCACAGTTCTCTAGGTTGATGCAACTTTGAGGTTCCAGCCGTGGAAAGAAACATTGTGAAATAAAATGCCTGATATATGGTTAAGGTTCACTTCAATTGTTAGAAGTATATGATCCAAAGATTCAACTAACCCTCCTCTTAGCACGTATGGGTGGACTGATATCTGTATCTGTACTGCAGAGTGGGACATTAGGCAAGACCAGTTACAAGTCTTAACACATAATACAAAATCTAGTAACAGCAAGTTCTCATCCCTTCTTTTTGTTGTTGGATCCCCATTGTATGTCATCACTCCCATAAGAACTTCACATCTTTCTATTAAGCTGCTAAACAGTGGAATAAATAATACCACATGCATCGTTGAAAGTCTGGTTTACAGACTTCGATGTTGCGAGAATTTTCCAAATTTCTCATTGTGATTTTGAAGAAGTTTTCTTATTCTTTGTTTCAACTCCTGTTTTGGCCCAAAAATCCAATGTTTGGTTAAAACCAAATGATTAGTAGTTTCTCTTATTATGGACAAAAAACAAGACGTAAATTACAATCTCTACTGAACTGGATTCTTTCTACTGCAAAGGATACAAAGCATCCCAAGCTCACTCTCAGAACTCCTTCCGCGCCCAAACAGTCTTTACCGCCATGGCATCCTTTTAGTCCTGCAATCAGATCAAATTATCTTAGCATTGCATTGTCTGGTGGTAAACCTTACTTTACTCTGTCTCATTGTAAATGAATACTAATGGTTTCATGTTTCAACTTTCAAGTCATATTATGTCAACTTTCCGATGCACTGTTCATGCTAGTTTGCACTATGATACCTAACAGACTTCCTGCCTAGCAGGTGCATAAGCCTCCCGCCACTGCACAGTCTACAGGAAGTCAAATGTATGCAGCTTTGCCGTGCAAGGGAAGAGGCTGTTTCCTGTCTGTTTTTGTTAAGAAGCAAAACAAAAATATTATGAATCAGAAATGATGTAATCTTACTTTCCATTTCCGTCAAGGCACTACGGCCATAATCACGGACAGCCCAAGCAAGCAGATTTGACATGAGAAACATCAATCCATAAACGTATCTGGCCATCCAAGGGTTGGAGCCATGGCGGAATTGACTGAACCAAGAGCCCTCCATGAGCTTGGCATACCTATCATTGGTACTGCTGGTGTTGCCCTCCATTGCTTCTTTTACGTTTGGGTATGAATCTTCCATCACATAGAACAAGAATGGAGGAGCATCGAGCTAGTGCTTTTGTTTCCACTAGCTTCTGTTCATCTGCAAGTCAAACATTGTTGGTGTTTAGTAGACACCATTGTAGTGTTTTATCGAAAAGGGACAAAGTTCACATAAATTCAATGAGTGAGCTTTAAATGCCGAGTTTAAGGAACCATTTTCACCTGTTGTTTTACATGAGTAAGAAAACAAGTCAACACTGACATGTAATTGGACAGCTATATACACGGATGCAACATACATTGGTAGGTGGAGGTTTGGGCTGCTCGATGAAAATTTATAAAGAGCAAGCCTATTAACATGGCACTAATCTGGCATTACAAAGAGCAATACTTCTACTTGGATCTAATTTAGTAGCATAATTTTCTGACACGGTTCACTCTTGTTGTCAGATTAGTAGTGGACCTCATTAAATATCGAGAATTGAGATTTGAGATCCACTAGTGATTTACCGAAAATAGTGGACTTGGGTAGGCCGCCCGACTAGCATGATAGTCACATGAAATAACGAGTAATGACGGGAAAACAACTGGCAGAGGTAGAAAAGATTAACACAAGAGGGGAGGGGGACAGCTAACAAAGTTTAGTTTCAATCATTCTTATACATGGCTACAAGCACATGGTTGAATCTGTTTAATTTTTCTAATCTTTATAATTGGGCTCTACCTATGCACCATCTATGGATTCAGCAGGCAATACACCTACCTAGAAGTGTAGGCTATGAAGGGGGAAATTGTGGTACAATTATTCATAAAGGCTATTTTGATATTTTCAACTCCATTGGACCATTGGCATAGGATGCTGCTGACAGTTTTGAGGTACATAAGTTTGGTTGGTTGGCCAATAATTTGTAACATAAAGCATCTAAAAATCCTTTAGTTTCATTATTAAATGGGCCTACTGCACATGTCACCTTGGAAAAACCCACAGGACTTGGAATTCAAATAATCAAGCCAAATCATACTAAGTCTTATGTCTCAATTATTTGGAGTCGGTTATATTAGTCCATTTTCACCATTCATTTCGATCAAGCACTATACGCTCATTTAAATTAGATATTTTCATATATTTTTTTATTATTCGTTCAATATTAATTTAGGTCTACCCATACTTTTAGTACCTTCAAGAGAAATTCTTTCACTTTTTTGAACGGGTGCATCTATTGGCTTCCGTTGAATATGATCAAACCATTTTAATCTATTTTCTTTTAACTTATTCTTAATTGGAGCTACTCCTACCATTTCTCTAATACTGTTATTTTGTATCTATCATTTCTAGTTTTTTTACACAGCCACCTTAACATTCTCATTTTCGCTATACTTATTTTGTCACTATGTTGTTTCTTAGGTACCCAACATTCTATCTTATTCAACGTTGTTGTCCTTATAGCTGTTCGATAAAACTTACCTATCAAATTTATTGGTATCCTTCTATCACTTAAGCTAACCGGCATTGATTCTATGAGTTACATTATCTCCAACCACTCTATCAATGATCGATCATAGATATCTAAATTGTTTACTAGTTAGTATTTCTTAATTTTCAATCTTAACTTTTTCACTATATTTATTTTTTCTATTACTAAAATTGCATTGCATATATTTAGTCTTACTCATACTTGTTTTAAACCCTTTCGACCGAGTGTCTTTCTTCAAATTTTTAGCTTCTTATTAATACCTCTGAGTTTCATCTACTAATACAATATCATCTACAAATAGTATACACCGTGGAACATTATATTGAATGTGCCTAATGATTTCATCCATAATTATGGTGAGTAGGTATGGACTTAGGGTCAATTCTTGGTGTAATCTCACTGTGATTGGAAATTCTTTACTTTCTCTCACGAAAGACCTAATTATAGTCATAAACCTGTCATACATGTCTTTTATCACCTCAATATACTTATTCGTTACTCCTTTTCTCTCAATCACCCTCCATTAGGGGTGTCAGCTCTTACCCGTTGAAATAAACTCGACATGAACCCGACACGAACGATCATAAAATTGACACGATTATTAAATACACATAATAAATAGTTTAAACTAATATTTAATACTTATAAGACATTAAAGAGATTTTTTTTTTGTCGTGGGTCTTGACATGAACACGACAACTTGACACAAATGATTATAAAATTGACATGATTATTAAATACGCATAATAAATAGTCTGAACTAATGTTTAATACTCGAAATACGCCATGCGGGTCACACAAAGACGATCCGATTGACACCCTACCCTCCAATACCTTCAATAAATATGCTTTTAAAAAAAGTGGTCTATAATTCTCAAAATGTCCAAGTCTCTCTTCAATGCAGATACCCGGAGATCAGTTGTACCATGACTTAAACCCATGATACTCAGATCAAGATGGAACAACATTACCGCAATCCCGATTAAAAATGTCACATTAGCAGCTTAGGTGGGAAATCCATTGAACTTGAAACTGAAAACCCCCTCATTTCTTCACAAAAAAACAAAAACAAAATTGCATAACTTTCTGGCAACTAAAATGGCAGTAAGCACGTGCAGTTCACGTGAAACATTTATTGGAAGAACAGTTGGGAATCAGACATAAAAGTTCCCCTCCTACATTCTATCACTCCTTCGGAAGCGTGTTGGGTTCATCAATGTAATGGTTGCCAACATTTCTTAACGACCACCCCTATCCACCATAACACTAATGCTATTTGAATATAATTTTGACAATTAATACATTATAATCATTGAATCGATAGTGACGTTTATTTAATATTAACACCTACTAATAATTCAACGATTACAATCTTCAAGTCTCAAAATAAATCTCAAGATTATGTCCCATTAACATTTCTGTCACACCAAACAAATTTTTTGAGACAGTTATACCCTCAATACTGTGTTAATTTACCCAATCTTGATTATAGTTTCTAAATTTATCCACTCCAAAAAAACCCAATAAACAGGAAAAATAAAAGAAAACAAAACTTTCTGTAAGCAATGGGAATCATATGAATCATGCCCCAGGCAATTTTTTTCCCCCTGTTTAATACTATATACGCATGCAAGTGGTTGTTAAAAACAATACCTTTGCAGGAAGATTTCTTCATGGAAAATAGAAACACAGAATCAAATGGGCAAAGAAATTATCATATATGATATATAATCCAAAGCCAAGAACAGAGCCAAAAAAAGAAAAGAAAAAGAAAACAATGCAATGGAGATTGAAACAGAGTATGTTATTCAAGTCTGTAAGAGGGTTTCTGAAGATTAAATTGAAACGTACCTGAAGAGAAAGAAGATTGATGAAGCTCTTGAGAGATCTCAAAGGGACCAAAGGTTTCTTCTTTAAGAAGAAGCTCAAACTCAACAACCTCAATTTGGGTATCTTTTATGGATGGCGAAGACAAACGGCAAACAAGGAGAGATTTTTCTGGTGTTTGTTTTTCACTTTTGCTCCTTTGTTTTTCTTTGTTCATAAAGAGAAAGTGAATACGATTGCATTTAGAGAGAGAGAGAGAGAGAGAGAGAGAGAGAGAGATTGCTTTTTGGTTGGAAGCTTTCACTTAGTTGCTTGCATTGTTCTTTTTTCCAGCCTTCGGCTCTGAGTCTCTTGCAAGGTTTGCTACACTCATACATATTAATGGCGCAATTCCATGCGTTTAAGAAACAGAAACCTGGTGGACAGCTACGTGCTATGCGCATGCTTAATTAGCATGGGCTCCAAATCATAACTTTCGAAATTAAATTTGAGGCAGAAGGATGAAAACCCAAATCATAGTAAATTATAAGGTTCATCGTAAATAACACCCCAAAAGATCTGTCGAACTTTAATTTGTATCTTAAAAGATAAAAAATCTCAATTTATACGTTCAAAAATATAAATTTGTATTAATGCACACCAAAAACTAAAAGTGGTTAGTTTCTCGTCTAAAATTAATTGGATAAGTTATACCTAGACCTCTTCAAGTTTATCACTTAATCATTTGAATCCTTCACATTTAAAATATTACTCTTACACCTCTTGACGTTTAATCACGTGTAACACATAATCTCTTGTTGTTGATATCTGTTAATATAACCGTTAAAAAATATAATTTTATCCCAAAAAAAAATTAAAAATTTTATATTATCATTTATTTTGTAGGTCCGTTAAATTCTAAAGTTTAATATCAAATTTACCATTTGAATGTTTAATATAATGCAGATATGTATATAATATTCTTTATATCCAATGCAATCTATAACTTGAACATAATTATTTGGATGACCAATTGAGAGAATATTTTTAGTAATATTTGGATTTTTAGGAGATGTAGGCGGTAATATTTCAAATATGAAGGGTCTAGGTGATTAAGTGACAAACATGAGGAGATCTAAATATCATTTATCCATTTAATTTTAGACGATGAACTGTTAGCTATTAGCTTCAGGAGCACATTGATACTGATTTATATCTTTGAAGGTACAAATTAAAATTTTATATCTTTGAGGGTACAAATTAAAATTCGAATGATCTTTTAGGATGTAATTTATAATTAACGCTAAATAATATTCTAAATCAAAATAGGACAATTAGTATACGAATCTTGGGACTAAAGAGTGTCAGATGTGTATAATTGTACTCTCATGTGCAAAAAAAATTATTTTCTTAGTACGAACGTATGACACATCTAAATTATAATGAAACACTATCCTTATTATGTCAAAACCCGCACAATAAAATGACTATGCTACTTAATCAAAACATGTACATTTAAGGTCACAAGATTTAGTGTCTTGAGCTAGTTGTTGGTTTATATTCACTAAACTCATAGTCGAATGACTAGTGGATATAGCGTAAAGAAACAGAACATATAACAACGTAACAGAGTGATGCATATTTACCGTGGTTGGCATAATAGAATAATAGGTTTGAGTGTAGAGAGCGTAGCCCTAACCAACCGTACAATACAAGTATATTAAAGATTTTCATATTTATCGTGATGCATATTATT